AATGTTGCCACAAAAAGAACAGATCATGAAAATGTTTAGAAAAATTTTTTCCATATTTTTCAAGAAAATGCATTCAAATTTGACATCGTTTGCAGTCTTATAATTTCTGTATCAAAGTAAGTGTAAGCCGGTAACAAAGTATCGAAATTAATATGGAATTTTCGTTCGGAAATTCACGCGTACACGGTTTAGATTGTTAATTTTCCATGTCATATTTTTTAATGTAAATCATATACAAGTACCGGTATATAAGTAACTTTTTATTATAAAATATATACTCTAGAGTATCAGGTAAAGCTCTATGTATAAAACAACTACTATTTATCTTCGATAAATAATTACATACCTTAACATCGCCGATAAACATCAAGACAGTCTTCACAAATATTAAAATTACTTGAATTTGATAAAGACTGTAGTCTTTACGAAAATACGTGGTAAACATCATTATAATGAATCATATACTAAATATATATTCAGTTATTTAATTACATATTTGTTAATATTAAACTATATGCCAACGCAAAAAAAAATGTTTAATTCGTTACTTCAGTCTTCATTTCTATAATCTTTTCATCGTGATTTTCTGTTTTTTTCGATGTGGTATTTCTCAGCACCTTCGATAGAAGATTGTTCAATGGTGATTCAAAAAAGACATAGAAGAAAAGAGCAGCAATCAATGACAAGAACATAGCAAACGTAAATATCATCCACTGTAAAAAAAATATGAGTTACTTTATATTGCTTTATGTCATAAATATTTTAATAAATTATAACAGAAATATTAAAATAAAATCTGAGTGCATAAATAAAATTAATTCAAATGACTTCCTAAATTTACTGTAATATTATAAATTATTAAGGTATTTTGTAATTATGTATTCAAAGTACTTTTTAAAGTTAAAATGAAAGAAAATAATTATTTGTCTTGTATAATTTTTCTTTTGCTGATACAAATTAACATTTCTGTGACTACGTAAGAAAGTCAGGTATTATGTCAGTAAAACATACACACTATATTAATGCACATCACTTGACAAATCATAAGATATTGCAAGTTCTTATTAGAATTTTTCTAAAGAACCATTGACGATTATTGTTATGCTATGTCTATTCATATTTATAGCATTTCAATGTAGACTTTTCATAACTAAAAATTTATTGATCGATGAAATAACTGAAAACAATTTCATGAATTCTTGAATTATTACCGAATTCGTCTCATTCATCAGGGTAAATTTTAAAGATAAATCTAAATCGATAATTTTGATTGAAAAATAATACATCAGACTTTTGTTAATCTCGTATTATTTGCAAACAGGGGGAGCCAGATTAATGAAAGTGCCGAATTACCGACGGCACTTTCACTAAAGGCAAGGGAGATGGTGAAATTGCGCCAAACCATATAGATTCTGTTTACTAAAAAATAATAATTCGCGCTGGTATGCAACGAGCCTACAGTGCACAAGAATGAAAACCAAGTAAACCGAAAAGTAGAATATATGATATAAATTAAGCTAGGTTAATATCCCTAAATGCCTATATTTTTACTTTTGTTTAATTTTACGGCCTTTTATATAAAATTTTATATCAGAAAATACTGATCGATTTATCAGAAAGTAATATTATTTAATAATGCTTAGAATAACCTCAGGGCAGAACACTGTAATATCTTGCAGAAACAATGTCTAAAAATCTTACAGGAGGTCACTGTAAGGTCACCAAACTCTGTAAATAAAGAAAAATCTTTTCGTTATACATAAAATCTTCAAAAACTAGCATTTAGATCGGTATAAAGCAACTTGAAGGCCCAACTAATATCTAGAGAAACTTTCTTCTATTCAATAATTTCTCTGCAAAATGAAAACTGATGACAGAACGAAGGAGTTCTGAAACATTTCTGAACTGCATCGTAACTCAAATATATAAAACAACACAGCATGTAGGTAATTTCTGCAGAAATATTAAATTATTAAGTTATAACTGAATGTACGCAACGTAACTATTACTTGTAGCTAAAATACCCAGACATCACTTCTTTACAGTTGCTTTGCGATTTAAGCTTTTTAACAGTAAGTGCCATTATCACCGTTATTCTCGGAGATAGAAACTATAAGGTGTGACTAAAATATTTTTTGTATTTTACTCTCCATGGATAAAATACAAATCAATGCAGGAAGGAGATTGACTGTTAATTTAATAAAATGGTAGGAAAACTTGATCCTGAAGGTGTTGCAATTTCATAATTGTTGCTTTCCAAAAAATTAAAGCAAGTAACAATTATACAATTGCAAAAGCTATCGGGGATGCGTTACATAAGTATAACTTCATCTAATCGTGGGTCCATCGATTAGACGAAAATATTAGAATTTTGTCTGTATCAATCAATGCACCAGTACAGGAGTGGCTTCAAGTGTGTTTCAAGGCCTTCAGAAATTGAAGAGTGTCACAGACACTTTTCAAATTCTGAAGAACAGGTACAGAAGCTGCATTCTACTATACTAGTAGCCCGGGACGCCCCCTAGTGGGCGTTCCAGCAGCATTACAAATTCCTGAGGCATGTTTAATGCACTTAATATATGAAAGTTGTGTGCGCTTAATGTTTAAAAGTTTGATGCAGTTAATATATATAAATGTATATAATTCTTCATCTTAGAAACTAAACTTAAAATATCAATACACAAACAGCCAACAGTATTTGTACATGAGAAAGTGAATCTATTCTTTACTCAAAATTGTTCAAATAGAATTAATATGATTAAAAAATCAAGTATAAATATATACAAATGTTCATGTTAAAAAGTAATGTTAACAGATCAATACACAGCAAATAGTATTTCTGTATTACAGACTGAAGATATTCTTTAGCTGTGTTCTGTATTCCATCATTTATCCCATCATAAAACTTCTGTATACACAACATTGTTGGTAAAAAAAGTATAATTATTTGGAATCAATTTGGCTTGTTGTGACATTTTGTCTTCTGTGTCGTTTTGCTTCTGCCTGCCTGTGCAATATTGCAGATCTGAGCTCATGAGTTTCATTCTGCAAGCCTCCACGTGTTGATTGTGCTATTCTCTGTAATGTTTCCTGCGCACGTCTCTCCCTTTGTCTCGCAGCAGTGGCAGCTTTACGTTCCCCCACAGTGGCGTATTTCTTTGGTCGTGCCATGAAAGGTTTCTATTATTATATTAAAATATTAGCTTAACTATTTCACTTATCATTTTATCGTAGCGGTTCCAATCTATCCGGTTTTTCGTTATTCGCCCCCTAGTGAACATTACAGATTTCCGTGACAATAATAAATTCCTATTACAAATATACTGAATTATTTATATTGTTATATTGACCAAATAATAATTTATTGGCCAAATGAATAATAATAATTTATATTGTTAATTTAAATAATAATTAAAATTGTTAATTTAATTTGAATGTTTGAAATATGACACACGTTAGGGGCGCCTCTAGTGTCGGTTATCAAACGGTTACGGGACGGACGGACGGAAGGACGGACGGACACCTGTTGAATGGGTTATATATATAGATACACCACATTAAAACCATGAAAAAGGTTGGAGAGAGAGAAAATTTACTAAAGTTACTTACACGGAGATTTGTTTACTTCATTTCTATGTGATTTAAATATTTGGTTTTAATACAATTTGTGATGCGGAAGTCGCAATGTTTTGTTGTTCAGTTAAAGCAGACTTGCATACGTCCAAACTAATTTTTGAAATATTCCGAATCTTACTGCTGAACAGGGAAACAAAATATTTCTGCTTGTGAGTACTGTTGATATCATCTATATAACTAAACGTAATCTTCCTACAGCTCTTGATATAATTGCAGCAAATTATGAAAAGGTATCCAGATTAACTAACAAAGCATAAAACTGTGGAAATTATATCAGCAAATTTTACATCTATAGTAGACCATGAATATTTATTACACAAATATGTAAGATAACTTATTACTGTTTATAGTAAGTGTTAATATATAATCGACAGCACACTATTCTTTGAATTACTTTAATAATAATCGAGTCATTTTAGAAGCCTATTTTTACCATTAATACCTAATAATTTGTGTTTCGAGCATTTAAGTGCTTATTTTACCTGCCTATTTATGACTTTTACTGCCTAATTGCCCTACCCTTAGGAGTGATTAACATTCTTATGAAAACGAAAACGCCGGGTATATTTCGAATTATTTAGGTTCTAATTAGCAATCGTATAATTTTAAATTACTGATTTTAACTTTACCATATTTAACGGTGTCGCAATGGTAGCCTTTCTCAAACTGCAAATAACGTAAGAGAGGATTAAACTGTGCAGCAGATATATCCAAAGATTCAGATTGTTTAACACCACAAAAATACGAAGAGATAACAAACGATTGGCGTTTCCTGAAAAGAAAGTTAAAATTTTATAAAATTATAAATGGAGCTAATGAAATCATAAATGTACATAAAACGCAATTTACAATAAAATAGGTATTGAATAATTTTCAAATAATAAATAAATAAAAACAGAGAAAATTATAAACGTTTAGTCAGAACAGATTGAAAATTAAACCGAACTAAGTTCAATTTCGAAGTTAGTAAATTAAGTCATGATTCTGTAGAGCTTAATTGTTAAAGTAGATAAACTTGTTCGCATAATATAAAATAGATTTGTAAATTATTTAGATGAAGTAATCTATCTATTCTACATTACGTGAACAACTTTATCTACTTTAACAGTCTAACATGGTCTAAACAATTTATTATAGCAAAGTAATAATCACATATATAACTGTAATTAATAGAATTACAGTACTGTACTTATTTACCCAAGTAATAGTTCATATGTAGCCAACTATTTTAGGTAACTCTTGATAATTTTAGCAAAATAAATTTTTCAATTGTACAAAATGCAATTAATTATATTATAAATTACAGCAAATTAAACTGTGATAAAATTACCTGTAGCTACATTAAAGATGAATGACTAAAATCACTAGATAATAACAATTTCCTTACCTCCATAACCTGTCATGCAAGCCACAGTCAACCAAGCTAATCCTATTGTCCAAGCAAAAGGCGCAATGCATTGGAAGGCAATGATTATGTTTTCGTTGGCCAAAATATCCTTCTTGTAATTATGCACTCCAAAAATTGATAAAGCCATTAAAATAATACATCCGATCCAACAAACAAAAAGAGTAATCTAAAAATTCAAATGGGATTCTTTTAGTAAACAGATTATTTTAAACCTTTTATTTATACCCAGTTGCAACATCTACAGGAAACGTTTCACGATAGAAAATTTCATATAAAAAATGAGATGATCTTTGCAATTATTTCCACAAATTTTTTTACGAATCGGTAGAACGATTTTGCAATTGAGGTTTAAACAGGAAGGAATACTTCAACAACGTGCAATAATGAAAGAAAAAATTTCACGATTTAGTTCTTATTATTTTATTTCGACTCCTTCCCTTCTTATATAAGTAATTCTACAGAAGCATAATCTGTCATTGTCATAGATTTTCTTTAAACGTCTATCCAACTCAATGTATCTTTGGCTTAGTTCCTCCACTTCAGTCATTGTTTTAGCCTGGTTCCTTTTAAGTTTTGCATCTTTCCTCTCATCAATCAACTTCCATAAGCGATCTTGGATTCTTTTGTCTTCTTCGTCCTCTTTCAATGATGTTTTGGGTGATGGGATTCTGTTTGTATTTAATTAAAATGTCGTACGCTTTCCAAATTGTAAAAAGTTGTTTAAATCAACTTCTGTTACACTCAAAATTTCGATAATTCACTTTTTCACTTTTTATAGGAAACTGAGTTTATATGGGAATGCAGGGAAAATCAGATTCACGTTCTACATGCCAGGTGATGAAAATTAGTTGTTTTTTCTAACGTTGCAACATAATCTGTAATTTTTAATTTTGCCTGAAAGTTTTACATGTTTTGTTTTAAGAAAAAGCATCAGTGATTAAAAATTAAGGTTTATCCTGACAAATCACATTTCCTTGTGATTTGGTCACAATCACAAGGAAAAAAAGGCGATTGAACGTTCTATCGAATTATTTTTCGCTGTTCTTTGTTGCACTAAGATAGAAACAGAAACATTTCGGTGTAATCAGTGTCCAGTGTCTTACAAACAGATAGCATTTAATAAAATGTACTCTTACATTAAAACAAACAACAATAATAATTAAATAATATAGAATACTTAAATTAAATTAGTATACTTTTCCAAATGTGATTTCTTTCTTCTTGTTTAATATATCTCCAATTAATGCACCAAAACAGAAAGTACTGAGATGGGAATAATATGGTTTACTATAATGATGCCGGACGTATTTGTGTGTTTTTCTAAAATAGAAAAAAATAAAATCTATAGATTATTATATATTTGACTAATATTCGATGATTATTGAAAAAAATTAAGTTAAAGGTCAATACTCGGAAACGGCGGGTACTCCAAACATTGCATAATATCTGTTTGAAAGCACATCAACGGCATGTGTGATAATTCCTGTCAGCATCAATAACACTATAACCAGACTTCCACTTCTGGGCCATCTGGAAAATGATGTTAAATATATATTAAAATTACTCAAAATATGAAATTCAGTTGAATAATAATACATTAGATGTTTATAAATACTGTGTGATCGTAAATTAAGTATCCTATTTAACATCGTCTACAAAAATCTTTATCAATCCAAATGTAACAAAATTTAGCTTCGTGTAACATTTAGACCAAGAGAAAAAATTTCTGTAAAAAATTAATACCAAACTAATTACTATAGCGCTCTTCACGGTGCAAGCATCAAATGTTATATACGTACTGTACAAAACATTCATGCACTATAATTTTATAGATTATATATTTGTAGATTATCAAATTTGTTTGACAGAAAAATTACAAAGGCAATGTTGCTCGAAATCAATGATAAAAACAAAGTATCCACAATTTAACATTTTCTAGCAATGACAGCATAATGTGCAAATACAAAAGCACAACATTAATCAACCCAAATTGATTGACTACAACAGTGGTTTTCAATTACTTGTTCCTGCGTACCACTTTAAGAAAGAGCTCAAACTCGCGTACCCCTTATAGCAGAAATTCATATTAATCCATACTAATATTATAAATTCGAAGATAATTCTGTCTGTCTGTCTGTTACCTTTTCACGTCTAAACCGCCGAATAGGTTTTAATAAAATATGGCACGGAGATAGCTCACACGTTGGAGATGGATATGGGCCACATTTTACTGCTAGAAAATATCTTACTCCCACGAGAAAATTCGATATAATGCGGGCATGCACAGCTAGTGATAAATAAAATAAGTTTTTTTACATTTATTACCTTTAAAATACAATTCTAATAATAATGAAAATAACATAAGGTTATTTAATTTTAATGCGACAAATGTGCACGATTTTCTTTGCGCAACTTTGTAAAATCTGGTTGCTTTTTGGTCAGCTTCAGTCTCGAGTCATCTTCGAGTAGAAGTCGGTGACGATTCATGTTTGTCACGGCCGAAAACCCGCTTTCGCGGAAGTATGCTGTGCAAAATGATAGAAAATATTTTATTGCCGCTTCGCTGACATGATGATAATGATAATTGTACAATTAACACAAATTGTGTTAATTCTACAATTTTTGTTTCTTGCGAGAGAATTTCATTTAAGTATCGTCAGAATGCATTTTTTGATGAAATTTCGAGAATATTTTTAGTTATAAATAAACGAATTTGCGCATTCGACATCGTGTTGTAAATCGCCGAATTTTTGATGGTCCACCCATTACACAGGTCTGCAAGTAAAAAACTGCATATGATTTTTATATATTTTCTTACAGATTTCAACTTCGTAAAAACGAAAAAATACCAAAAAAAATTCAATTTTTTTGTTACACTCAAGTTTTTGTCTGTATTTAGCGTAAAATTCCTAGTTAACTTAAAATTTACTATTTTTTTAATAACTTAAAAAATAGCCTTAAAACGATGACTTCTCATATTAATTATATCAATTATAGCTGGACTTGGTAATAAATAAATAAAAATGTTAATGGTTGAAGAAAGTAGTAGTGGGGGGTTAAGTAGTTTTACCGTTAGGAGGAAGGTTTCATGATCGTATACAAACGGGTTAAAAGTTCATAGTGAGTAATATTATTGGTGAGGTTTACCATGTTTCAAATATGTTATCTGGGATACTAGGAATAAATATAAGCAATCTGCTGTTGGATTAGATATTGTTTCAACAAGCTAAGTAACTTCAGTATCTCGCTGCCATCTAATGCCACACTCAGTTTAAATCCAGCATTCGAACGCTACAGTGCGTGTATCTTTATTTCTGGAATATGGCTGTCAGTGGTTATATGATTTCTCCCGGCAGCTTCTGTTATATTTGTGGTGAAAACACAGTAAAAATTCAACAAAGAAACATAAGTGAGTTTGTGAAAAAAGTTTAATTTGCATATTTCAAATTGAAACTTGGAGATCGAGACAAAGCAGATTTCTGGAAACAATAGGAGAAAAGGAAAAAGAAGCATGGTACTCTTTCAAGAATGTAGTGCATAAGTTTGTGAGGAATACTAATGACCCTGACTACGAAACCATTGTACAACGCATGCTGGCAGCAGCGTATGAAGCTCGAAGATGCGAGATGAGCTTAAAAGTTCATTTCTTACACTCCCATATTGACTATTTTCCCGAAAACTTGGGAGCCTACAATAAAGAACAGGGTGAAAGATTTCACCAGGATGTCCATGATATCGAGAGACGTGAAAAGGAAAATGAGATGTCAATATGTTAGCTGATTACTGTTGGATGCTCAATCGAGAGACCAGAGAAGGAAATTGTAAACGAGTTTAGAAAAGCATCAAAAAGAAGAAGAAAAGGTTTCATAAGAAAAAAGAGTAAACATAAAATTGTGTTTAAATATCAGAAACAATTTGTTGATTAGTTGTTAGAAAATATTTATTACAATGAACAAAATATATTATAAGAGTTTTATCAAAAAATTGTTTTTATTTTGCAAAAAGCCTTTACGTGATGGGATGTAACGGAAGTTATTTTTAGAATCTGTGATCTTTAAAACATATAATTCAGCAAAAATATTCCATGCAGCTGAAAAAAAATTTATTTTTGCAGACCTGTGTTATTTTTTTGATTGCTTCATCTCATGCATTTAAATTTTAAATCGAGCGATTTTAAATAGCCTCGTGTAACCCTTCACGCAATTTCGAGTACCCGCAGGGGTATGCGTACCACTAATTGGGAACCACTGGACTACAACAACAAACAAAACATAAAAACGTATGAAAGTAGGAAATATAACAACAAGTATTTAGAAACTGTATAAGTTTTCTTGATTATCTTAAAACTATTTTCACATTTCCGGCTGTTATATATAACAGAGGAAAAATGTGGCAATTCTGTAAAACTTACTTCCTTTCCCCGAAATTTTTACAATTTTAAACTCAGCACACCCCTGAAATGTCGAGAAATGCAAAAAATTTGGTTTTTATTGTTCTGTATGTATGGATGTTAGTGTGTGTATGGGGACACGATTTTGTTCTTCCTCTTTGAAGCTTAATAACTTCTGTGCTTTTTGTTGAAACTTTCTGAAATTTTGTGGGGAGGCTTGATGCTCTTAAAATTTCTCGGTTAAAGGTAACGGGGTAAGAAGAAAGAAGAGTCATGTGTCGTATCTGGAATAGGGTCTGAATTAATGGCGATTAGCGTCTTTTATTGGTTATTAGCGTCTACAAATTTTTGTTTTTATAAAATCCATCCTTATACTCAAAATTACGCCTTTTGCCATTTTATAACAATTAAAAATATAAAAAGATTTTATAAATAAAATATGACAACAGATAGCGCAAACAAACGTCGCCGGGAACCAAGAAAATCCAGCCAAGAGTTTGCTGGATTTTCTACAGAAGGTTCTGAAAGCATTTCCTATAATCAAAACTGATATGAAGAATCTGTTAGTGATGATATTATAAAACAAATCACAGAGAAAATAACGCCAATGGTAATAACAGTAAATTAATTTTCAGTTGGACATAAAATTTTCCCTTTTTTTCGGAATATTTTTCTATACAGTTGCTAGAAATTTTGAAATAACTGAGTAACTGGCATTAATAAATGCATTGAAAAAGCAGATAATGATTGTATAAGCAGGTTTATAAATGTGTCACATAAGAAATATTGTGAGAGTTTTCAAATTGCCTGAATTACTTCAATTTATACTCAACTCAAGTAATTATTATTATTATTATTATTATTATAGATGACATATACATTCATTGCAAAAACTTTCAGAAATAATTCTTAGAAAAATTTCTCTTTGATTACAGATATTTATTTTATGACGTGAGTTTTCGATGGGATAAGTATAAAACTGTTTTTTTTTGGAATCAGGGGAGATTGATACGTCGAGAAATGCAAAGAATTCGGGGTTTTTTTCTTTTCTGTATGTTAGTGTATGGAGGACAAGAATTTGTTCACCCTCTTTAAAGCTTCATAACTCCTGTGCCTTTTGTTGAAAGTTTCCGAAATTTTGCTCGAAGGTTTATGTATTAGAACGATTAATGGAGGATTAAGGAAGGTTAATGAAGAATTAAGGGAGCTATGGCAAATCGTCGTTCGAGTGCTTGTTCTTTTTGCAAGCACAAAGTTTCTGAAAGTGACTTGTTAAATTGTTCCAATTGCTGTAAATTTGCTCATTTTGGATCCAGGCAGCAAACTTTCATAAGTTCAACAAGTCTTTCAAAAAAAATTGGAAATGTGAAGATTGCAAATTAGTGAAAACAATTAAGAACAACGCAAATTGGACACAGGAACTGGAAGACGACATAGAACTGGGTGAGTGTGAGCAGATTATTATGACTGCACATAATTATAATAAGAACGTGGATAGAACACCAGATGATCTAACTTTCACTCCAACGTCACCTTTAAGTATAACTACCAAAAATTCTGAAATTATTTTACAAGAAGTGAAATTAATACACTTGGAGTTGAGTAACCTAAAAGAAACAAACATAGAAATCCGGAAATCGGTAGAATTCTTAACAAATAAGTTTGACAAAATGGAAGAGAGAATTAATGTTTTAGAGAAAAACTATGTAACTGCTGGCGAAACACTTACAGAACTAAAGTAGGAGAATAAAAATACGAAGGCAGAATTAAATTCTTTAAAAGAAAAATTCTGAACGTTGGAGCAGGAGCTTAACAACTCAAGCTTGGAGGTTGTTGGCGTGCCGACACTTCAGAATGAGAATTTAACAGAAATAGCATATAAACTTTTTTCGTTTGTTGACGATAACTTTAATCAGTCAGGTCTATTGAATGCCTATAGAATTAAACCCAGTAATAATGAAAGAAAATAATTCAAAACTAGATCGCAACCAATTATAGTGAAATGTGCCAGTTCAATTGTCAAACAAAAAATTATAAATATTATTAAAAAGAAAAAATTGAAAATAACCACAAATGCATGTCACATTATAAACAAGGAATATAAAATACATATAAATGAACATCTTACTCCATATTATAGGAATATTTTCTACAAAACCAGAACGCTAAAAAAAACAAGGAAAAATATTAAACACTTGGACAAATAACGGAAATGTGTACTTAAAAAAGGATACTACTTCTCCAACAATTCGGATACCAACATTGGACAGTTTAGAGAAAATCTTTCGGAATAACTGAATTATTAACACATACAAAAATAGATGACTTCTCCAAAAAGGGCATATTCGTGTTTTATTGCAACGTAAGAGATTTAAATAATAAATATTTAGAAATACTTAACACAAACGAGGAATATAACTGCAACTTTGATGTATTAGCTTTTTGAGAGACTTGGACAAATGATGTAAATCCTCCACCATATATAAAAGACTATCGGCAAGACAAAATAGAAAAAAAAACCCAATTGAAACATAATAATAAACATTATGAAGTTGTTTCAGATCTAACTTTTACAAGGAATTACAGTATATCCAAACCAAATTATGCGAGATGTAAAAAATTGTGTCAAGTAAAAATTAAAACAATTTCGACCAGTCAAATTTTTTGTGTTTAAATTTTTTTTTTAAACTTTTAAACACTTTTAAAGATAAGCTTGGTGCTTCGAAGCGAAATGTAGGAAACAATAATAAAAATCTTGTGAGTATCGCTTTTAAAAGAAAATCTTATTAAACTCACCGATTTTTCCTTTTTCCACCTGTAACTTCAAAACTTAAAGCAATCTAATATTTTCAGTGTCATTTTTGTGTTCAGCATCCAAAAAATTACGTAAGATTACTTAATCGTATCTCTCATACAACACCTTTGAAGAACAATGTAATCTATTTATTTAATTAAAAATATTCGACTATCACAGCATCTTATTTAAAATCACGATATTGTTCGTATTTCTTTATGGAAAGTACACGTGTAAAAAATTTAGCGGTGTATCAGACGACAATATTACGAAAACAAAACATATTCCACATTAATAAGTAAATAAATGATTGAACTCTTACCTGTCTTTAACATACAGTAGCAATGATGCTATGATAGACAACTGCAATAACACACTCATAAACCATATAACGTTGAAAAATTTCTGAAAAATTTTTAGGACGTAAATGTATTAAAAATACAAAAAAANAAAAGTATTTTTTCAGAGATTTTCTATTCATCCAATTGTTCTACATATTTTCATTTATAGTTACTCCGTTACAATGTAAGTTAGAAACAAAAATTGGCCCATAATCTATACATGGCGAATGATCGACGAAAAATCCTCTTAAATGCCAATTTTTTTTTTTGATGGCCTTTTCAACACTTGACTTGTATCCGTATAATTCTCAGAACAGAATAAATGAGTATTTATCGTAATTGTTAATACCATTTCCTTTCAGTGAAAAAGTCATCAATATTTATTCAGTATTTTTAAATTCAAATTGTCCGTTGACAAGATTTTCTATTTCAAGTCCCTGATGGTGTTTTTAAAAAGAGTAATGTAATGCAGATGTTGCAATCCAATAGGAAAGTGGCCGGATGGACGAGCGGTGAAGGTGGCAGCCTTCCGCTCTAGGGTAGCCGTGATGGAATCCGGACGAATCGAAAAATCCCCAGGAATATTTTTCGACAGGAGGTCGTCCAGATATGTTGGACCCCTCCCTCTCCACCAGGCCACTCGGGCCTGGCCGAACTTATAATGGACTTGCTTGAAGAGCCCTCTTAGTGCCAACAGGACGAAAAGAGTTTTAAAAAATTCCAATAGGAAAAAAATCAAATGTGATGTAGTTTTAACACACGTGTATATTTTAACACTATTTTTAATAAGCTTTCTGAAAGCTTTATTTAAGTCGTAGCTTTTTTTATTTATTACACATCTACGGCCGAAGTGCATTTTGTATGAACAAATACAATATTAAATACAGTGCGTATATTAGTTAAACAATGCATCGTCATTCTTAATATGTCACAGGATCCACCACTGGAAGTATTAGAAAATGATCTCGGAAAGAGGAACAATAGTGGATAAATATTGGTAACATCACGTATTAAAATATTCGATGTGTTTTTCTGGGATGTGAAAGTAAACTAAAAAATAAATGTTAAAAATTTATGAAATTACCTTCTGTTCGAATGCTATATAAATATGAACATGAGTGATATACTTCCACCAATTGTTTTCTAAGTATTCCGCTTGATCAATCACACGATGCCAATGAGGACCATCTCCGAGTAGAGGTAGAAGAATTGCAAAGCCCAAAACAAATATTACCGGAAAAGTGAATCTATAATATAAATAAAATTTACGCCAGGAACCACTGACATTACTAATTAAATATTTTACCTGAAAATTTTCTTGACTAAAGATATGATATATTGCTTCGCAGAGTTTTTTCCACGCTTTTGTCTCAAATACATAACCATAAAACCACTAGACAATAAATGTGTTTGTTATTCGTTATTAATTTTACTCAGAATAGTGAAAATTTCTTAATGTTAGAAGTTTTATTATGATGCAAATATAACATATTATGGAAATTTGCACTTATTTCTAAATATTAAATTCTTATAATCATACCTGTAGAAGAAAAACGATTCGATCATTGTGAACGCTTCAAGAAGGATCTCGTATGCAAAAAAGTCCATTGCTTTTATCAGATTGGAATATTTTTCTTTAAAATATAATTTTTATTATTCAATAATTATATAGATAAATACGATGAGATATTTTTGTAATATAGTAAGACTCCGCTTAACGCTGCTTCGATTAAAATTGATTCCGAATAACGCAGTCTGCTCGAAGCATAAAATAAGCTCAAAATTTACGGTGATTCAAATTATCGTAGCATTTCATTGTTTTGTATATAATACGATTATTTCCGAACACGAAACAATCAGCAAAAAAATTCACTAATTAGTCTGGGAACGGGGGACCTAATTCTTACCATCTGTGAAAACGGGTATGATTGGCTATAATGTAATTATCTTAATCTTTGCTATTATTACTTTTTTCCCGAGCAACGCCGGGAACTTCTGCTAGTTTAACATATATTATTATGCAAATTAATATAAAAATAACTTAAAATTAAAGTAAAATCTATTTATTTTTGTTCGCGTTGTTTCCCCTTCTCTTTTTACTTTATGTTAAAATGACCTCGTTTAACGATTTGTCGTATAGGAACGCATCCCCGCGTTAAGTGGGTCTTACTGTAATATGAAATTTATAAAGTTGCATAGAACAGCAGTTAAATCTAGCTTAATTTTAACCAATTATTAACTAATTTTTAAAACGATTCTGTTATATAATCCTCAAACGAATTCTCCAAGATTTAATTAAAGTTTATCGAATTGAATAACTATGAAAATTTCAATCATTTTTTTTTACTTGGGGAAGTAAAACTTGAATTACTTTAATTCAATATTCATTCAATCGGATCAAATTATATAGTATTATTAAAAAGTACCATCTACTTTTAAACATGGACTAGGTAAATTATGCACAATTAGGTAAACATAATCCGTTTCTTGACTTAATTAGTTTATATGCATTTCATTTTTCTAAATATTAAAACTTTTTCTTAATCTTGACCATTTAAAAATTACTAGTTAAATCATGACATTCGATAAATATGTAATTTGGCCACATTTCAGATATATCAAGAAATTACTACCTTTACAACTAACTTTAATTTACTTTTTTTTTGTAAGTAACTCAATTCTGATGTTTCCTAATCAGCCATATTTCTCTTTTTTTTTATTTTCTATTTTTTTTAGAAATCCAAAATGGTTAAATACGAGTATACCAAGTAATCGAGTTAAAATAGTTTCTTTGATCCATCTTTTTATTAAAGCACAGACTTTATGTGTGAAAAAGTATTTTTTCAGAGATTTTCTATTCATCCAATTGTTCTACATATTTTCATTTATAGTTACTCCGTTACAATGTAAGTTAGAAACAAAAATTGGCCCATAATCTATACATGGCGAATGATCGACGAAAAATCCTCTTAAATGCCAATTTTTTTTTTTTCGGATGGCCTTTTCAACACTTGACTTGTATCCGTATAATTCTCAGAACAGAATAAATGCTTCCAACAGTTGTACAGTACTTTCGTTTTCACGTCTATTCCTGTTATTCTTACAAATTTTATCCATTGCTGTTATATTCGTACTGCCTTCGACCAATCTAATTGTCAATTCCTTCAAGTAATGAAGTTTAAGATCTTTCTGCCGAGAATAATGAATCCTGCAACATTCTGAATTTCTTCTGTAAGTGTCATTGCTGATTTCTTCATAGATTACGTTGGAGAGATAAAATAAAATACGTAACGTTCGTGACATTAAAACACTTTTTGTCTGCTTGGGAATCATTCCGCAATGTGATTCTTTATTCTGTTATCAATGTATTATTTCACAGTGGCTGTATTATTTCGTAACGTAGTGTATTTGAAAATACTCAGGTTTAGTGTTCCTATAGTAGATTTAAAGTTACAAACAGCAATTGATCAATAGACTATACATAGCGAATTTTTACTTAGTATCTCAGCACATAAACCGAATTTTAAAATGTCGGCTTCGTCACGAACTCCGATTTGCCGAGTTGTTCATATCAGAAAGCGAGTAATTATTTATTGTGATATCGTCACAGTGCACGACCGCGATGTTTAATCATATTTTTAATTTATTTGCTTTAAAATATATGCTTTCAATCTGAAAGTAGTAGTGTCTTGCTTCTGTACATTATACTATTCTTGTCAGCAACGGAATCGTGCCGGTCATCTATCTCTCTTCGTTCATAGGAAAATATTCGAATGGTAATAACGTAACTTCCGCTTTGCAGCAGAAATTCGTTTATAGTTAATCGGGACCGCCTGGCCGTATGCTTTCCAGATCAGATTTGTGATTTTATGTATCTTACATGTTAATCTCGAGATTGCTTCTCGAGATTAAGAAATGATAGACATTAAGCAGGCGGTCGACAGTGGTAATTTATGTCTACAATTTTTACAAATTGTAGCTCAAAATTATGTTTATTGGATGTGTAATTGCTATAAACTATTATCGCAGACAACACACTTTCTGACTTATGAAGAGTTCCACTCAACAAAAAACCGAACTTACATTGCCTGTAGAAGTTCATACATTTAAAGATGACTATATATTTTTATCATACGTTTTAAATAACAGTATATAATGATAAACTGGACAGAAACTATTAAAAATTTACACAATTTTTTTATTGTTTTTGAAAGCGTACTGTAACATTTAGTTTCCAAATATGAACACCACGAATCGTATAATTGTAAACAATTATCGTCGTTAAAGTTTTTATTGTTTATTATTTCAATTATTTCGAAATTCTCCTGCAATTTTCAAGTATATTTTTTGAAATTTCACAATTATGATTATTATAATGCAGTGGCGTGCCAGCATTAATAGCGCTGCTAACCCTATATTTTCTAAAATATAAATACCTGTCGTGCGATTATTTTCATATTTTAACGTACTGTACTTTCAATTAGTTAAAATTAATATTTTATTATAACCGCATTATGCATTTTATTACAAATTTCTATACATGCAAAAAACAATGTTGAGATTGCTATTGCATATTCGAATTCGTATACGCATATTTTCAATGGAAGCGCTGTATTGTCAAATACGGGACAGCTTCCAAAGTAAAAAATATTCAATGTTATTTTTATGTACAGTACGTTCCTTTACAAATCTATATTTAATTATGATTTTCTTTTAATTATAATTATATTGACAGATTTTCAAACATAAAATCTTTAGAATTTTTATCACTTCTACATGTTAACAATTTGAAATATTATAAAAAATAATTTTTTGAGTAATTTTACGGAGATTTTTCTGACTTATGTAAATTAAATAGTTCGGATGTAGCCAACCTGTAGCGCTCTGATTGAATAGAAATGTATCAAAAATTATATTTTAATTATTAATTACACATTTAAATGGACTTCGTAGTTCAGTGAAGACCGTGATGTATTAAAAACGAATCTCTTGTTTGTGTATTTCTATTACAAAACATCTGTTTACCCTCCGTGTCTCCATTTACGTGTTATGCAAGCGTTTCAAATGTTAGAATATAATTCAATTTGTTAATTATTGTACATTTATATCTGGCAACACTTGAAAAGTTGTTAGTCGTCAGAGTTTCGTCTGGTTGTAAAGTTGTAAATAAGTATTTAGTTATATAATACGATGAGATATTTTTGTAATATAGTAAGACTCCGCTTGAGATTGATACGTCGAGAAATGCAAAGAATTCGGGGTTTTTTTCTTTTCTGTATGTTAGTGTATGGAGGACAAGAATTTGTTCACCCTCTTTAAAGCTTCATAACTCCTGTGCCTTTTGTTGAAAGTTTCCGAAATTTTGCTCGAAGGTTTATGTATTAGAACGATTAATGGAGGATTAAGGAAGGTTAATGAAGAATTAAGGGAGCTATGGCAAATCGTCGTTCGAGTGCTTGTTCTTTTTGCAAGCACAAAGTTTCTGAAAGTGACTTGTTAAATTGTTCCAATTGCTGTAAATTTGCTCATTTTGGATCCAGGCAGCAAACTTTCATAAGTTCAACAAGTCTTTCAAAAAAAATTGGAAATGTGAAGATTGCAAATTAGTGAAAACAATTAAGAACAACGCAAATTGGACACAGGAACTGGAAGACGACATAGAACTGGGTAAGTGTGAGCAGATTATTATGACTGCACATAATTATAATAAGAACGTGGATAGAACACCAGATGATCTAACTTTCACTCCAACGTCACCTTTAAGTATAACTACCAAAAATTCTGAAATTATTTTACAAGAAGTGAAATTAATACACTTGGAGTTGAGTAACCTAAAAGAAACAAACATAGAAATCCGGAAATCGGTAGAATTCTTAACAAATAAGTTTGACAAAATGGAAGAGAGAATTAATGTTTTAGAGAAAAACTATGTAACTGCTGGCGAAACACTTACAGAACTAAAGTAGGAGAATAAAAATACGAAGGCAGAATTAAATTCTTTAAAAGAAAAATTCTGAACGTTGGAGCAGGAGCTTAACAACTCAAGCTTGGAGGTTGTTGGCGTGCCGACACTTCAGAATGAGAATTTAACAGAAATAGCATATAAACTTTTTTCGTTTGTTGACGATAACTTTAATCAGTCAGGTCTATTGAATGCCTATAGAATTAAACCCAGTAATAATGAAAGAAAATAATTCAAAACTAGATCGCAACCAATTATAGTGAAATGTGCCAGTTCANATTGTTAAGTGTATCTGAGTCACTTCCAATGTTGTCTCTCGAATCGACATTACGAATCCGTCTGACCACGTACGGCACCGCTCGCTCGACGGCGTGACGTAATTGCCGTCTCGGTTTCCGTGTTTCGAGAAACACGGTGGTGTCAATCCTGACAAAGTACCAAAGAGGTGTCGACCCGAAAGGTCACACAATTAACGACTTAACTACAAAATTATACATTTTTGAAGTCAGTTATAAATGGATGGACTAATTTTGATAACGTTTGGTAGAATCATGTCAGCACTCGGAATAACATTATTAAATGTGTTATAAATAACAGAAGAGAAGGATTTTCTATCAAGATGCGCCATTTTAGTACTGTTCTTTTGATCTGTTTCTTTTTGTCTCTGTATAATACGTAATAACTGATATAAAATTATGCTCTTACTCGTTAGTCTGAAACCGTTTTCGTATATATTATGGGTCAGACTTGGAGCCATAATACATACAAAGTACAATTAAGGTTATGTTAGGGTGCCGAGATTCTTCGCACACAATGTGACAAAACCACTTAAATATTTAGAAATTTTTAAAGTTAAATAAGACAATGAATAACTTTACCTGCTACTGTCTTTACAATCATTACTAACGCATATGTGTGTCCCAATACTGCATTAATTATTACAAGACATCTCACACCACACATCGATTTTGTGCTTTCATCGATATTCGTTAAACACAATTTATGTAGAGATGTAAAAGGTGAAGCGATGAGAATATACTCGAAAATTTTACCTAAAATTATGGGAGTTAAAAATCTATTAATTAGTGTAATTAATTGTTAAAAATGAAATCTATATTTTAAAACTATTCTTATGAATTATTGATAAGAATTCGAAAATTTAAGTATTAAATATTATTTTCCTTAAACTTAAAACATTAACAATTAAACTATTGTTGTTTCAAATACCAGTATTATAAAAATTTTTCTAATAATTTTAATGACTTACTATTATTCATCTTCGAAGACATGATATCAAATCGCATTAATATCTCTGCTAACGTTGCCATTGAAACCCATGCAATAAATATGCAGAGTACAGTTCTAAATTAAATAAATTAGTTCAAAGAATAATGTTAATTATCTGTAATTTATATCATTTTAGAATAAAATATTAATAAATTAGCCAATGAAGAAAAAAAATTATTTTGTTTTAGTTAAAAAACAAAGATGAATTTTTAAATAATTCGCATTGTAATTAGTCAATAAGTATATAAAAATATATATTTTCATGATATATGAATATACATATTATCCTGTGTACATTATAGTTAAAGAATTTTATTACAATTTCCTTGTATATAAATTTTATTCGAGTAATTTATAAACGTCGTACTTTTTAATTATGAGAAGGATCTTCTTAAGTGGCTGATAATTTGCTATGATTTTTGATTTATCTTGACACAGTTTCATTCCGTTGACAAGGAAGGTATCGTCGTGATCGACGCGGTGCCGGATTATCGAATACAACTATATCAGTATATATATACTACAAATCTTCTGTGATAAAGGCATACGTTTTGATGCCAAAGCCAACAGTATAAGGTTTGCCTTGACACATTTAATGTTAGTGGTGTTTGAATATTAAATTACAGAACGTATAGTAAACTTACAATGTGTATCTGTGATTGCAATGCTTCTATAATCTACGAATTTTTTGTAATACGTCGGCCAATGCTAACAATTACTAAACAATAAACGAATATTATAGTTTTTATATCCATTTAAAATTGAATATAGTCGTTATTAAATATATATTGCAGTAAAATTCATCAATTAAAAATTTTTTCTCTTTTATATTGTAAAAATTTCATGTTTCTCCGTCGTTAAAAGTAGTCTGCAAAATCCTAAAAATGCATTATGTTTATAAGGGTAGTAAAACTTTCCAAAATACGCATTATTAAGGTGATTACAATACATTTTAGAACTGTAAGATGAATGAAAACGATTTTCATGTCGTCATGGGTTTTCATTCATCTTACTGTTAGACATTATAATAAAGAAACAATAACTGAAAGCTTATGTATTGTTTCTCGATTATTCTAAATACATCGTCAAAATTCTAATATTTTACATAAACAGTTTATTCTTACAAACAAAACAAAATAATAATGAGGTGGGTTGAAGAAGAATGAGATGCATCTATGTAATAAGTAAATTCAAATCTGTAAGAACAGAAATGGTACTTCTGAACAATGTAGAATAGATTGGGTTTTTCTTAGTTAATTAAACTTATCTTTCATCATAAAAAATTATGTTATAATATATTTTTGTAAAAATATATCCTTACATTTAACACGAAAATTTTATTATTTACTAATATTTTATATTGCGTCGTCCATTTGTCGTTTTTATATTTTGATTTTGTCAATTTGATAAAATTAATTAATTTATACTTACAAGGATATCAATTGTCCATTAGTATATTTAAGTTTTTCGTCTTTAGTTTTGCAATATTCGACATTAAGGTCTACCGCTGTTCCAAATACTAAAAAATGAACAATAAAATACCTGTTAAATTGTAAACAAAGTTAATTAAATTGAATTCAGTTTCATAAAACAAAATGTTTTATAAACTTTTTTAATAAATAAAAATAACTTTAGTTTTTAAATTAAGGGTTTCGTTTAAAGAGTGTTTTAATTTAAGATTTTGATACTGTTTACATGCATTCTTTTTTATGATTGGTTGAAGAATAAAAGTTGATGTTTTGTAAAATGAATGCCAGCCAATCAGAGACTCAAAACTTTTTAACATTGAAGAGCTTATAATGTTAATAAACTCGAAAACTTAAGGGAAATTTATGGTTAACGAAATATTTTTTATTAACAGCTTTTTGGAATATGTTGTTATATACAATTATAATTTTACTAAATAACATTGCTAAACAATTAACTAATTTTACTTATTTTGTCATATATTAAAATTACTGTTTTTTATAAAATTAATATTAGTATGATTTTAATTAAATTGTAATCTTAACTAACTGCTGTGTAGAGATTTTCGGATTAATAAATAATTCGAATTAATGGGGATTCTATTTAATTGACGACATTTGACAGCAAAAATCCAAATTATTACCAAGAGAAAAGGACTACACATGTTTAATCCGTACTCATGTATATTTAATGCTGTATTTGGTAAAAAATTTACATTAAATTACGTAGTACATATTAATTTTATGAAGTAATCACTCTGTTTAAAACTTTCATTTTTGTAATTCGGTGATAAATAATGAACACAATTGTTGCAGATCAAATTAAAGTGTGGAGTATTTGATAAAATTTAAAAATTTTAATTCGACTTACTCCAGTTTCCAATACTTTTCAAGTCGTTATCACTACATGTATTAGGAATGCACACATCTAATCGTATACCCATCTTCATTTTGGCTGCATTTTTGAAGAAGTCACCAAGCTTTGCCGGTTTCTAAATCAGAAATGAAATATGGTAGTACTTTTTACAACTATTATGTTAACTGCTTACTGAGCCATTTAATTCATTCAATGTACATTAAATAAATTCAACTGATAAATTACTCGAAAGTATATTAATGCAAATCTTTCTTGATACTTACAACAATATCCTTTGCTAGTTTAATCAATGAGTTGTTTTCAAAATGATGAATTGACTTTGTAATATTCATTATTGAGTTTGATAATCCAATTTTCAAGGCACAATATTTCCCTCCAACATGCTTCTTTTCACTATTAGTAATCTTTTTATTTCGGGGAATTTCTATGCTCAAACACTGATCGTAATCTCCTTGTATCCATTGTGTCATCCCTAACACACCTGCTGGTAGTTTTCCGAAAGAATCCATTACTGAAATTAGTGAAAATATATAGTTGAAACAAAGATGGAGATTTTTATACATAAAAACAAAAGACAAATACCAATAGTAGTACAGTAATATCTCGACTTACGCTACACCGACTTACGCAAACCCGGAGTTACGCGATTTTCAAATCTCTTCGATTCGTCTTTTGTTTGAGCGCTACGCAACTCTCGATTACTCACTCCCTTCACACTATTGTTCGGCTTACATGTTCGGACGTGTCGCGTGGAATCGACACATAGCTACAATTTATTTTGTGTTATTTATTTCTGTGTTTGTTATATCTACGGAGACTCGAGAGACTCTACTATGTCATCTAAACGAAGTAGAACTGATTCTTCTACTTCGTTTAGATGACATAGTAGAGATTGTTCTACTTCGTTCAAAGAAAAGAAAAACTTTATCTTTGGAATGTAAAGTTAACATTATTAAAGATTTCGATACAAAAATGAAAATTTGTGAATTGGCAAAAGAGTTTGATCTACCGGAATTGACGGTCAGAACAATTATAAAAGGTAAAGAAAAAATTTTCGAAGCTGTGAAAAATGCTTAATCTTAATCGCTGAGATGGAAACAATGTTAAAATTATGGTGTGATAATCAAGTAAATGTGAAAAATTATATAATAATATAATTTGTTATACATATGTATTATCTAAGATTTTACTAAACATTTTTTTTTTCTAAATTATTGTTTTCTTTAGTCTCCGGTCCCAATTAAAAATTATTTGTATGTATTTATATACGAAATTATACCCCGACTAACGCGAATTCGACTTACGCGGTTATCGCTCGGTCCCACCTATCGCGTAAGTTCGGGGTATTACCGTACAATTTTTTGACCAGATTGAGAATAATTTCAATCTAAACTTTAGCGCCATATATGAGAGTAAGAGGATTGTTTCATTAAGTCTGTAACTGTTGGACCAAGGCCAGAACGGGGTGAGGGACGGGACAACATATCCGGAATGGACAACTTCGAAATATTCGTCCGGATTTTTAAAAAATGGTAATAACAAATCATACAGTGCAATGCAAATGTTTGGCGGAAACAATAAAATTTCTACTATTGTAATAACGGCTGTTTAAAGACTGATAGTCCAGCGCCTTAAGGCGAACTTTTGAATAACGTTACGCAGCGAGTGACAATAGTAATCGAATTATAAACTCGAAATGATAGTGAGAAATAATTAAATTTATTACAATATCCTAGCACGAGGATATATCATAATGAAATAGTTTCATGGCAAATATTGCATGTTAGTAGGTTGTAAAGACTTTAGACTAATATTGATCACTTTACATGAATTGCCATATTGAGTTTTTTATTTCCCGATTTTCTTGTGCTGAAACTGTTCGTTAATAATATATTTTGGGCTCTAATATTGTAATGAATGGTTTCTTTTTTACTACCATTTCACATGCAGAATTTGGTTTTATTAATTAAGATACGTAGATTTTTTTAACACGTAATATACATAACTGCAGCAGAAATAAAATGATTTGTCAAGTTGTTTCAAATTATATAATGTAGCCAAATACGGAATTTGCTAGTGTCTGATGAATATTTAATTAATTAATTAACTAAAGTTAATAAGAGTAACGAAATAGCATTGTTCTGCATTATTATCAAAATATACGAATAATTTGTAAGTGTTTGTGCTAAAGAGCTTATTTAGTTTGGTGTTTTTTGAATTGAATTTTTTAAAAAGTCTTCTTTAACCAAAAAATATAAATACACGTTTAATTAATACAGGGTAATCGAAAAGTCACACTAATTTGTGTTTTCGTGTAATTATTATACGTATATACAGAAGGTAGTAAAAACAAAATGTGTAGCATGTTCTTCAAGAAAAGCAAAATCATATATTTTGATTAGAACGTATGTTCAAAATGAAATCCTCGTTCAAGACTGCAGGCGCGAGTTCTCATGTTTGATTCCATCTCATGAAGCATCTGAAATGCTTAATCGGCCGTTAAATGCTCCTTTTTAGTTCATCTATTGTTGGTGGATTATTTTTATACACATCACCTTTGAAATACCTTTACTGTAAAAAATCTGAGGGTTACGAATATTGCGATGGTGAGGCCACAATTCTTCAGAAATAAGGCGGTAGCTACAAAATAATAAATATGACAAGTTGACTACAAGTTGACAACTTTGCAAATTTTCCATTACTCTGTACAATTATCTTTCGTATTCACAGTTCGTACTTACCTAAAGCAACAATTTGATCGGGTAAGACTGTATTGTGTGTGTATGTACTATACGTAACATCAAAAACTGCAAAACATTTTTCCCTTTAAAAATTTCATCGATACTGAACTACAAGTCTAGTGGGTATACTTTAAAGAAAAATTAAGAAATTCAGTAACATTACACCAGATATACGTAAAAGTATCCATGAGTTTTTCCCAACATTTCGCAGTTTTTTCGGCGAAAAGAGAACTGGGAATGTATTAAAAGACAATAACTTTAATAAACAAGTAGGGAAGCAATTAACGAGTTGGTGTGCCACTGTAAATTTAAAAAAAGTTTACAAAACATTGTGAAAGACCCAAAAAATGCACAGAGCAAGTAGAATGAAAAGTCAAGACTATATTTTCTTTGTTTAAAATGTTTAATTTGTATAAAAATACAGTTTACTTCACTTTATACGAATATAGGAATAAATAGTTCGGAAAAGTTAAACGTGTACCTTTGTTTCGTGTAAATGACAAAGTATCGATTTTAAGAAATTGAAGAGCTAGGTGTAACGAGCGAGACAGTGAAAGCATTTTTAAACTTTGCCTTTATACAGTTTTATTATTTTACACTAGACAGCGCTAGTTACAAGGTTCTGACAGAAGAATTATTGCTGTATTTATGTTCAAAGTCCGTTAACAGATGTGTCTCAGTGGTTCAGACAGACATCCTATAATTCACAATTTTATAAAATGTGGGGATTTCAAATGTGAAAGTGAACAAAACAAACTTTTATTTGGATAAGAAATTCTACACCCAAACAGACGGAATACCTATGGGTACACATATAAGTCCAAAATTGGCTGAAATATAAATGATATAAATATATAAAACGATTTAAAATATAGAAGGTATTGAATTTTACAACAGGTTTGTGGATGATTGCATAATAATTTTTGATAAAAGGTAAACAAATGAAAATATAATCTTATTTTTTTATGCGATATTTGTAATTTCACAATTTTAGAATAAAAACTAATGACTGTGTGATGCCAGGAGACATATTTTCTATATCCGATTCACTCATCCCCTACAGGAATTCTTCCGCCATTACTCCCGTTGGGTCTGAGACTCACTTCCCCTTTTTTTGCATTTTTTTATTATAATATTTAAAATTTCGCATAAAATCTGTAAAAAGAAATTAGTGCTTTCCCAACTTTCCAATCCATACTATATATGTGTCTTATGTCGTAAGTGCGTGCTTATCGCGATTGTGGCGTTTTTTTCTATCTACGTGAATTCGTTTGTAACAAACAATTGTTTTTGGGCTGCAAATTGAAAAAATTGTAGACCTATGAATCCCCCATTGGTCCGCTGCCTCACTATTATTTCTGGATCTAGAGAATGGAGATAGATAGATGAATGTCGACACCAGAAATGAAAATTTTTGGGGAAGTAGGTTCCGATTACTTATCTAAGAACTTCCAATGCAAATCGAAAGTCACGTTATTTCAATTCAAATATTTTCCTCGCGAAAGAAGTCAGATAGCTGATCAGCACGACTCTATTTCTAGAAGGGAAGTTCGATGTACCGGTGCATGCCGCTACTAATTTGAGGTGAGAGCAAATATTTTAAATTAAATAAATCAAAATTACGATTGAAAATAGCATCCCGGTCATGCGCCGAAGCCACAATGAACAATTGTTCGTTTCATTTTGTGGTTTGTTTTTTATGCGTTTTTAAATAATGTTATAACTTTTTTAATATAAGATGAAAAGTAAAAAAAGGGGAATAAACTACTTTTCATCAGCTGTAATGATGATAAAGAATCGGAAAATAGTAGTTATTTGTTGTTTACTGTTGCCTTTTTTCAGTTTTATATAATTTTTTTGTATGCATTGAAAAATTTTTCAATTTTCTTTTACTACTATTAATTTATGTTAGAATTTCGAAATATTTTATTCTGTTACAAAAAAATCAAACATTTCTAGAAGATTTAATATCGGGAGAAAACTTTAGAGGTTACTTTAATAAAGTAATTTATGTTTTTTGCGAGGATAAGACATCATTTATGTGTTTGTTATAACTTTTCTTACATGCTTTCTAATTTTCATTGATTGTAATACATGTTGCAAATTGTAATTGTATACATTTTCCAGAACAATGGTTGGAAAAAATTGGATAACAACCAAATTTTTAAATAGTAAATAGTCACTTCAAAAAACAAATATTTATATACAGACATTCTCTGCTTGCCTACTTCTCGCCTCTAAATAAAAGAAAAAACGATGTTGCTATATAAAGTAATATTCACTGAAGAATTATACAAGATAATTTGACTTCATACAGATGCCGTTTTCTCTACCAAGTCAAATGAACTTGTATAATTATTCAATGAAGGGGCCTATACTTATATACGGAAGGAAAATGCATTTAGAGATAACACAAAATTATTGAAGTTTAAAAAAAAGTTTTATTTTCATATACTAGCAGTTGTATGTCCCGACTATAAAAGACGGTTTAGGAAAATATTGTTTCTCGANTTTTTACATTTTCCACATGGCCAGTCCGCCCCTGTTAAATATAAATTAAAAAAAGAAAAACAGAATAGCATAAATTATTTAGAGATAACAATTGAAAGAAAAATGATAGATTAATTTATAAAAAATATGTTAAACCTATACAAATACCGAAAATAATTAATTATAAATCTGTGATCCTTGTTAGTATGAAATACAACATACTTAAAATGTATATCAATAAAATAAGACAAAGAACAAGTGATACAGAAACACAAAAACAAGAAGAAGAAGAAATAATTAAAATGCTTATTTTAAATGATTATCCAAAACGTTGTTAAATAAATGGATTGAAAAGTTAGAAAATGACAGACAATTAAAATCAATGGATAAAGAGAAAAAGTTTGTTAAATTAAGGTATGTTCCAAAATTATTTGAAAGAATTAAAAAAGTAGTAAAAAATAGAATTAATTTAATTCCTGAAAAAATAAATTCAACTAATAAACATTTGTCTTGTAGAAAAGAAGAAAAATATGATATAACATTAGAAAAAGGTGTAGTGTATACATTTAATTGTAATTGTAACCCGAAGAAAATATATATTGGAGAAAAAAAATTAAAAATAAGATTTAGTGAACATATCCGAGCAATTAAGGGGAAATATGCAAATTCAACAGTGGCTGAACATTATAACACAGAAGGTTGCGAAATTTATTTAAATACGGTGAAAATAAGGAAAAAAGAAGAAAATAATTATAAAAGACAATTACAGACAAAAACGAAGAAGAAAGAAGAATTTGATTTAATTATTATGTATATAAAAATAGGAATACGCATGAAATAATTTGGTTAATGTGCGTTACGGACATATTTACAATTGTGAAAGATTTAAAAAATACAGATTTTGTAAGAATTTTATTATTTTATTGTCGGGAAAAATTTTTCTGTATTTAATTTAAATTTTTAATCATAATTGTAACCAAAAATTTTTAAAATTTTAATTCTAGAAAGTGTGTTTTGAATGCCTGCTGGAAGACAAACAATCCGAAACATAAGTTTAAAGTGTTCAGGTGAATTAAATAAAAAAAATGTTGTTCTGGTCTGTAAGACAAAGTTTCTGCATCCATAAATCCAGTATAATAAGTACTGCTAATTGATATTGTACTAGTATACAAGATAAATTTTAAATCAAGATAGAGGACACAAAGGCATAATATTTAAACTTTGTCTCCTTTAAAATGCTTTGTATAATGTCAATTTTGTTATTTCGGTGCAACAATGAATCGAGTAGAGGAGAAGGTGGTATTATGGAACCCCAATTACATTTTAGTGAATTGTAAACAAGGTATCATAACTACACCCACATTTATGGAATTATGGTATTTATGGTATTATGGAACCCCAATTACATTTTAGTGAATTGTAAACAAGGTATCATAACTACACCCACATTTTTTTGTGCGAAAAGTACTGGTAACTAGTAAACTAAATGTTCCTAATTGGATTTTTCGCTAGTGTAATTATAAGTATGGTTTTTGAAGGCTTTTGTACAAAAAGTCCGAAAGTAGGCTTAGAGAAAATCGGGTGGTAATATGGAACCTTACTGTATATTTTCAAAAAAATGCTTTAATGTAGCCAAAAACAAATAGGAAAGGACAAAAAATGTTAAATAATTACAAAATTATTTACTCCAATGTATTTTATCGCAAAAATGCTTTTATAATAGAAAAATATGACCTCCATCAACAATATATATTCCAGCAGCTCTTTTTCGATATTTTCAGACTTTCTACCTAGTGTCTTTTTCCCAAATTGCTCCGGACGAATGTCTGATTGCAAAGAGAGAGTTCGGAGGAGTTGAGTTCCATATTACTGTAAAAGCACCAAAGGGGTCCGTATTTCACGCATCGCCATCTCGAATTAACTTATGTCTGTCAAGACCAAAATTTAAAAAACGTGAACATCACACAGATTAATATGTACCCCTAAGTCTCTGGAACGGAATACATGCACCAGTGAACCTACAACTACACGATTTATATTTTAAAAATAATTAAATTCACTTAGCATTCAAAACTTGCGAATTTTGAAAAAAACAAATTTGCTGATTAAATACGGACAACCGTTCAACTGAAGTAAAATGGGTTTTCCCCTTGCTATGGAGGTCTACCTAGTTCAGTTCAGCCACATTCCGCTACAGTTTGCCTTTATTATCAGTTCGAAATGGGGTGGTTCCATAATACCCGCAGTGTTCCATAATACCACCTTTTCCTCTACAATTTTAAATATTTCATTTACAGAATAGAAAAATTAAAATGCTTTAAAACACGACCAAATAGTTTTTTACAGTTATAAATTTGGAAACAGCATAAAGTCAGAATCTATTAAATGAGTCATTCAAAATAATCTTCAATTTAATTAATATTTTTCGTATTTTCTAAATAATTTTATAAACTGTTTGTCATTTGTTGTTAGACCAGGCCCTTCAATTAATTATTTCATTATTAAATCGAAACTCTACTGTAATCGAAAAAAATAAATTTTAAACAACTGTATTCATATTCAAAACGCGTATACATATAATAATGATGACCATCAATATATTATTTTGAAATTCGAATGGATTTTTCCTCGAGTAATTTAAATCAATTATAGTTTAAAATAGAGAAAAACAATTTTTCAAGGTAATGAGACATCTCGTCTTTAAATTCATTGCGTGACTAATCAGCTTTTATATAGTGAACCCATACATCAATAACACATTTATCGTCTCTGTATAAATACAAACTGATAATATTATTGCTGACCAAATAACGGAAGCTGTTAAAGTATCCAGTCTAACGCTGGAAAGACACGAAATCGAAATTAGTTGAACCTCCACAAAAGTGCTTTTGGGTGGTAGGAATTAGATAATTCTGCTTCCCTCATTCCCCATTAGACCACTTCATTGTGCACCTGTCAGAATTTACAATGGTTCTGAGAAAGGCCATGTTAGTTCCAACAGGACGATGGGTAAAACAAAATGAAGTATGCTTTGTATACTGTTTATACAAATTTCAATTCGTTGATCTTTTCATTTGCATTTATCAACATAACTACTAATAAATGCGAGAAATATATAGGCAAAGAAGGAATAGAGAAACGTAACACTTACATTTTATAGTCCATGGTTTCATAAGTCTGAAGTCTCTGAGGAACAAACTGCCAGCTTCGATGCAGGACGAAGATAAATTCGTTTCTTCGGTAATTCTTATCATGTAAGGAAGTGCAGCTCTAGTAAGAGATTTCAAGTAGCCTTTTACTTTCGTTTCTGCATTGTCTAACATTTCCACTACACGGTTTACTTCTTCTTCGTCTCGTACTTCTTTTGACACGTTTATAGCTATTAAATTCACGCATGTTATCAGTTGAAGCAAAACGACCAGCATATGAATATTTAAAAATTTCATTTTAGACAACGTATTAACGCTTTCATTAGACGGTGTCTTGTTGAAAGAAGTTACTCTATAGTTGACTCATATAACACATATTCAACAGTGAGCAACTTTCCTTTTAGCAATTTATGACGAAACAATAGACAGTGACTCATAAAAAGTATAAAGTAATCAAATTATGACGGTTGAATATTTTTTCGCTTTTCAAAAAAGTTCATTGTTTATATAAAATAATCAAAATGCGAATATAACTGCACTTTCACTAATTGCTAATTCTATATTTTTCAGATAGGTTAGCACACAAGATACAATATTTTTCAAAATTCCTGAGAGGTCGAATCCGGGAACAAAAAATGACTTCGTGTTTGTCTTCTTCTCGTCACTTACGTTTCATTTCTAATCATATATATAAAAAGTGAAGTTCTATATCGTGGTTTGAGTATTTCCTATTTTTATAGAAAATAAGTTACGCAAAAATTTTCTCAATTATGTAAATTACAATATTATTTGATGACAATATTTTACAAAACGAAAATATTTACTCTCCGTTTTAACTTAAATCTTGGAAGCCATAAAGAAAACGTGCAATTCTAATTTTCGTGTTATCAAATCACAATACTGACTCAATCAAAGAATACGCAATTAATTTGTGTTATTCTTTGCGCAATAAAGTCTTTTTGTGCGTTTTTATCTATAGCAGTTCAAACATAGAAACGTTAAATAAAAAAAGTCTAGAATTTTGATGATTTCGATGTGCTACTTTCAATTAATTTATTTAGTTCAAGATATATGCTCTCCATCTCAAATTAGTAGTGGATGACCCCTGTATACAATACGTTCCCGCTAGAAATAGGGCCGTGTCGGTCTTCTAACTTACTCTCTTCGGGGGACGATTTTTCATTTAAAATAACGTGACTTCCTGTTTGTTTCGAAAGTTTATATATAGTTCATCCGTAAGCTATTGAGATCTTGTGTCGACTTTAATTTATGTAACTCCTTTCTGCAGATTAAAGAAGGACAGGCAGAATGCGGAAAGACGGAAAACAGTGATAATTTATAGTTCTCTAAAGTTTTCAAATTGCAGACCAACAATTTTTTAAATACTGAACATTCATATTTCAGGTCTTTACACCAAAATTTAAATAACCGTCTTACAGATTGAGTTTTTTCGTGCGTTAAGGAACAAAAGTTTATTCGTTACGTTCGTATTCATATTGACAATTATTATTTCTTAGATTTTTTCAATTTGTTAGTTTTAAATTTTTAATACATTTTAACAATATTTTGTAAACTTTCTAAAGAAAAGATTGCTATTAGCATTTGCCATTCTTGATTATCTCTATAATAAAAATTGCCTAACATTTATGAATAGTATGAATGAGTACAATGAAGAAATAATTTTTTTGTTGTCTACCTGAATTCTTCATGGATAAATTACTATGATTATTCATCTATTCTTCGTTCTAGTGAAGCGATATAAATTATTATAATTAGAATAAAAACACAATAGAAAAATACATATATTTTTCCTACAGCAATTTCATATATTTTTTTTAAATTTGAAATCTGAAAAATTATAAATGAAGAACATTACCTAAATATTAAATTTACATATTACACTCTTACCCTGTGCATACTTGTAAAGACAATGCAGTTGTTAAATCTTTACAGGCATTAGAAACAAAATTGAACATAAAAGTTTCTTTTAAACAACAACAAATTTAAAATTACATTTTATTCATGAATAATTCAATATCAATCGTTTAATTTTTTTTTGTTAATAAAACAATGAATGATCGGTTATCAATTGCTAATATTTGGTCTTTGGATTAGAGTTTGAATCAAATTAAACTTAAATAATTACGAAAATATGCATTTTTTTTCTTAAAAAACACGAGTATTTTACATGGTTTAAATGAAAAATATTCATAAATGAAAATATAATCTTATTTTTTTATGCGATATTTGTAATTTCACAATTTTAGAATAAAAACTAATGACTGTGTGATGCCAGGAGACATATTTTCTATATCCGATTCACTCATCCCCTACAGGAATTCTTCCGCCATTACTCCCGTTGGGTCTGAGACTCACTTCCCCTTTTTTTGCATTTTTTTATTATAATATTTAAAATTTCGCATAAAATCTGTAAAAAGAAATTAGTGCTTTCCCAACTTTCCAATCCATACTATATATGTGTCTTATGTCGTAAGTGCGTGCTTATCGCGATTGTGGCGTTTTTTTCTATCTACGTGAATTCGTTTGTAACAAACAATTGTTTTTGGGCTGCAAATTGAAAAAATTGTAGACCTATGAATCCCCCATTGGTCCGCTGCCTCACTATTATTTCTGGATCTAGAGAATGGAGATAGATAGATGAATGTCGACACCAGAAATGAAAATTTTTGGGGAAGTAGGTTCCGATTACTTATCTAAGAACTTCCAATGCAAATCGAAAGTCACGTTATTTCAATTCAAATATTTTCCTCGCGAAAGAAGTCAGATAGCTGATCAGCACGACTCTATTTCTAGAAGGGAAGTTCGATGTACCGGTGCATGCCGCTACTAATTTGAGGTGAGAGCAAATATTTTAAATTAAATAAATCAAAATTACGATTGAAAATAGCATCCCGGTCATGCGCCGAAGCCACAATGAACAATTGTTCGTTTCATTTTGTGGTTTGTTTTTTATGCGTTTTTAAATAATGTTATAACTTTTTTAATATAAGATGAAAAGTAAAAAAAGGGGAATAAACTACTTTTCATCAGCTGTAATGATGATAAAGAATCGGAAAATAGTAGTTATTTGTTGTTTACTGTTGCCTTTTTTCAGTTTTATATAATTTTTTTGTATGCATTGAAAAATTTTTCAATTTTCTTTTACTACTATTAATTTATGTTAGAATTTCGAAATATTTTATTCTGTTACAAAAAAATCAAACATTTCTAGAAGATTTAATATCGGGAGAAAACTTTAGAGGTTACTTTAATAAAGTAATTTATGTTTTTTGCGAGGATAAGACATCATTTATGTGTTTGTTATAACTTTTCTTACATGCTTTCTAATTTTCATTGATTGTAATACATGTTGCAAATTGTAATTGTATACATTTTCCAGAACAATGGTTGGAAAAAATTGGATAACAACCAAATTTTTAAATAGTAAATAGTCACTTCAAAAAACAAATATTTATATACAGACATTCTCTGCTTGCCTACTTCTCGCCTCTAAATAAAAGAAAAAACGATGTTGCTATATAAAGTAATATTCACTGAAGAATTATACAAGATAATTTGACTTCATACAGATGCCGTTTTCTCTACCAAGTCAAATGAACTTGTATAATTATTCAATGAAGGGGCCTATACTTATATACGGAAGGAAAATGCATTTAGAGATAACACAAAATTATTGAAGTTTAAAAAAAAGTTTTATTTTCATATACTAGCAGTTGTATGTCCCGACTATAAAAGACGGTTTAGGAAAATATTGTTTCTCGAGAAATTTATATTTTTAAATTCGGTTTTAATGTAATTTACACCGACAAATTGAGAAAATTATATTTTATAATGCTTATTTGGTAATATATGGTTAAATAACAATACACTCCTCAATAACAATACCGCCCTCAGGAATACATTTCAATTATTCGTTTTTTATTTTTACTTTGAATAATCTGTCAATCCCGCTGATCTGACAACCGCCTATACAAAAATGGCCATATTAGCGAGAATCTACTGTGTACACCTACAATACATTAACTTCCGTTTTTTTATTTCTGCCACTTTACGGGAGCTTTAAATTTAAAAACAATCTTATAACAACTGGAAATTTACGCAAATAATTGCCTTTTTTTGTACAGTGTAAAGAGCATTAGTTCGGTTTTTACTTAGTTTGATCGGTATATATTTTAAAAAAAATTGCAATTATAAGTTTACTTTCTTTACATGATTCGGTGATCAGTGAAAAATGTAGAAATAGAGAGATCATTATTTGTCATGTAAACTGCACTAATCTAATGATTCAAATAATATAGGTTTTCCATTTATTGAATTTGTGACATCAACTGCTAGTTTGTTCCCAATTAGTTTACGGATGCAAGGTAAAATATTTAAAAAAATAACTTTTATAGATTTAATTATAATAAATAAAATTGTGTTTAGTAGCTATCTATTAAGAAATCTATATATATAAAAATGAATGTATGTGTGTGTCCTTCATGCATTACCACACCGTTTATCCGATTGCCGTGAAACATTAGGAAGTTATTTAATATACTCTGGCGAAGGTTTGTGGGATAGTACGATTGCCATAAAACTTTGGAAAGTTTTTTTAATTTTTTAATACATTCCCGAGAAGTACATTTATCCTACGATAGATGGCGCGCGTTTACACGAGCATTCGAGCACAGTGTGTCCGATCGATTTCAAATTGTGAAGACCATTTCCCCCCTTCAAAAAATATCTCTATATATGCATTTGTGAACTGTTATTTACGATATTTATAATAATTTTTGTTTAATTACTTTATTTCAACTTTTTTTTTTGCTAATTATGTATTCGCTCGAGCTTCGTTAAAACCTTAACTGTACTCCGAACAACAACAGAAGTTGTAGGAAGAAATTCGCGTATTTTACCGATCTAGGTATCCCCCCTTTTCCAAATTTTAATATCGACTCAAAATAATTTAAAAAGACAAATTACAATAAAACGGTTTATTATCCAACTATCAGAAATTTCACAGCATGCCAAGGAAGAGAGGAAGAAGCAATTAAATAATGAAAATTATAAAGGATTTTAAAAAATACATAAAAATGAGGAATATCGCACTTCTGACAATCGCTGCGAGTGTGTGGGTTAAATTTGGAGAATCCGTGCTTCTCGCATGGACAACTGTATGTGGCCGGCTCACGCGTCGGAAAACCTTCCGATTTATTCGTGTACGCACCAGACGGAAAAACAAAAAATATCGTGTATCCACGAGCACTCCAATAAATAAATAGAATTGAAACGACACTTTGAAATGTTTTCCCGATGAAAATGAATAATAATAATAAGTTTCAATAAAAA